GCCCTGAGCTGGAAACGGGGTCCTCGGGCGTGGGGGTGTCAGGACAGCCACCTCGCCGAGAGCAAGGTGACCAAGCCTCCACCCTGAGACTGGAAGCGCAGGCGCTGGGCGCGCCCCCCGGGCCCCCACTCCTCCCTCCTCCTCCAGGCGGAGCCGGGATTGCCCCAGCCCGGGAGTGTTGTCTATGCCACCAGCGGCCCGCCTTGTGCCTGACACCTGGACACCTAGGCCTACGGGGTGCGCTCCATGCAGGGGCCCACAGCAGTCCTGGGGCCGCGGCAGGTGCCGTGAGGCGGAGGCCAAGGGAAGGGGTGGCGCAGCGGGACCCTCCCGGCTCCAGGCCCCCACCCCCCAGCCCCGCCCCACTGTACCTACTGCCCTGCCCCGGCCTTTCCTGTCTTTGAGCCTCCCAGGCACCCGCTCTGGAAGCCACCCCATCCCCCTCCAGCTGGGAGTATCCAGTGTCTCCGGCCTGATACGCTCTCCACCTCCCCACACCAGCGCTGGGCCCAGCCCTGCCTGTGCAGCCCTGAGCCCTTCTCCCTCTGAGCCCTCCCCGCCCGTCTGTGACATGGGCACAGTCCCTAAGCCCCTGCAAGGATACGGAGCTGCGGAAAGACTCAGGAACCGGGTCTCGCAGCCACAGGGCGGGTCCCGAGGACCTGTTGTCAGGAGGTTGCTAGGGGGCATGCTCAGCCCAGCTGAGGCTGCGGTCTGGGGGCTGCTCCCCAGTGCCCCTCAAGTCACTCTGTCCTGCCTGCACACCCTTCCTGGTGCCAGTCAGGCGCTGTTCATCAAGAGGGGCCAGGCCTCCACCCTCGTCCCTCAAGCCCATATGCCTCCACCCTGTGCGAGGTAGGAGGGGCACACATTATGGAGGAAAAGACTCAGGAAAACGGAACGTGTTGCTGGCCGGTCAATTCCAACTCATGGAGACCCTGTAGGGCAGAGTAGAACGGCCCCGTGGGGTTTCCAAGGAATGGCTGGTGGATTTGAACTGCCGACCTTTAACCACTGTGCCACCAGGGCTCCAAAGGACCCAGAGGGGCCCATATCAGCTGAGGGCCTGCTAGGAAGTGACAAGTGTCAGGTCAGCCTCTCTGAGGAAGTGGTACTCAAGCAGGAATGATGAGGAGCCCCTCCAAGCTTCTCTCACCCAGGACTGGGTTCTCCCCATGTCCCGTCAGCCTGACAGGCCTTTGCCCCATTTTACAGAGGGGAAAACCAAGATGTGTGGGTCACAGCAGGCAGGGTGGGAATTTGTGGCTTTTCTCTAACTGAGACCAGGGAGTTAGAGTGGGGTCCTATAGCCACCAGGTAAATCATGGCCCTGGCCCAGGCCGAGTCCCAACCTTGATCAGCCTGATGGCCGAAGGACAGCGGCCACCGCCGCGGCCCTGCCTCCATGTGCAGCCCTTTAACAGATGTTTACAGGGGTCACCTGGTACAGCTCTGGACGTGAGGACCGAGGCACTGGGAAGGACAGAAGAACATGCCTGCTGTCTGCATAGACCCCAGAGCAGTCCACAGAGCAGACCCAGACCTCCCAGGGGCCAGTGTCTCGGAGGGGTCAGCGGGTTCCTGGGTGGGCAGGTTTGGGTACAGGGTGGAAGGTGGTCCCAGCTGGTGTCTGGGGTCTCTGTGCTCCGTCCTGCATGCCCAGCATGGGACACTCAGACGCAGACCCACGGGAGACATGCCTTCAGGGAGTCACGGGTGCTTTGACAACAGAAGCCTTTCCAAGGAGGCCGGCAGGGCAGAGGGCGTGGGCAGGAAGTCTGCCTGTTGTCAGAGGGATCAAAGGCCGTGGTTGGTGTGTCTGGCCGGGGCTGGTAAAACGGGTGCCAGGCCCTACAGGCTGGGCACTGGACTCCCCAAGGACAACAGGGAGCCTCTGAAAGGTCCCCCTCTGGCCCAAAGAGTGGAGAGGCCCCCACTCCTCCACAGGGTCCCTCCATGAGCAGCCCCGTGCTGGCACAGTCATTTCAGAGGCTCCGATTCTGGTCTGGATCAGGGTTCAGGACTCTCCCCCAGAAGCTGCCCAGCTGACTCTGGAGGCCCTGTTGCTGCCAGGCCTGCCTTGGGGACCCCTTGGCTCCCTGCACTCCTGCGTCTGTCACGCCCACGGCCTTTCTTCCGGAGGGTGCCTTTTCCCGGCCTTGCCCACACATAGCAGGGCGCGAAGGACAGGCCTGCGCACACTGCACCAGGGACTGACTCAGATGGAGCAACTGCCTTGGAGGGGCCCTTCAGCCTGTGACAGGGCAGAGACCCCTCAAGAACCCGCCTGCAGCAGCGGGCTTTCTCGGGGAGCCTGGGCCCGCAGCCATGGCACTGCCTCTGATACACAGCCCCGAGGGAGGGAGCAGATGCAGCCCGGCCTGGACCCCAGCAACTGCCGTCACAGCTGTGACGCTGCCCACAGGTAGGGGATACTGGGGGAACCCTGAGATCCCTGTCCACCCCAAGACAGTCCTGCCTGGAAAGGCAGGATCAGAGAGTCTTGGAGTGCTCCAGAGGGAAGGGGCAGAGAAGAGGGGAGCTGGGAGCTACTGGCCCCCGCTTGGTGAAGAATGTCCTTTTGGTGCAGGCCAGGGTTCCAGAGAAAGTTGGCCCAATGTCGGAGGCCCAGGAGGTTAGAAGCTGTCTCAGTTATCCGTTGCTGCTATAACAGAAACGCCACAAGTGGATGGCTTTAATAACCACAAGTTTATTCTCTCACAGTCTAGCAGGCTAGAAGTCCGAATTCAGGGTGCCAGCTCCAGGGGAAGGCTTTCTCTCTCTGTCGGCTCTGGGGGAAGGTCCTTGTCATCGATCTTCCCCTGGTCTAGGAGCTTGTCAGCACAGGGACCCCAGGTCCAAAGGACGTGCTCTGCTCCCAGCACTACTTTCTTGGTAGTATGAGGTCCCCACGTCTCTCTGCTCGTTTTTCTCCTTTATATTTCAAAAGAGATTGGCTCAAGACCCAACCTAATCTTGTAGATTGAGTCCTGCCCAATTAACATAACTGCCTCTAATGCTGCCTCATTAACATCCTAGAGGTTAGGATTCACAACACCTAGGAAAATCACATCAGATGACAAAATGGTGAATCATGGGAATACTGGGAATCATGGCCCAGCCAGGCTGACAGTTATTTTTTGGGGACACAATTCAGTCCATGACAGAAACCTGGGAGCCCGCTCACACCCCCCAGGGTTACACTGATGGCATCCACCCGTTTGCCCCACAGTTAATTACTGAGCCCCGACCTCTGCTCCAGCTGCTGGGGAGACAGTGTGAGTGAAACCAAGCCCCCTGCCCTGGTTGGTATTCTAGAGAGGGACAAGTTAACCAGCTGCCGTGGAGCCAGTCCCACTCGGGGCCACCCACCTGTGTCAGAGTAGAACTGTGCTCCACAGGGTTTTCCGTGGCTGACTTTTAGAAGTCGATCCCAGGCCTTTTTTCTGAGGCTCCTCTGGGTGGACTTGAATCTCCAACCTTTCAGTTAGCAGCTGAGCACTTAACCGTTTGCACCACCCAGAGACTCCCTCTAGATAAGGGGACAGACATAAAATAAAGAGATTACAGGGCGCAGCGGATAAAGCAATCAACTGCTAACTGAAAGGTCAGTGGTTTGAGACCACCAGCAGCTTGTGGGAGAGAGATGTGGCAGTCGGCTTCAGCAGAGATTTATAGCCTTGAGACCCTTTCGGGTCACTATGAGTCGGAATCTACTCAACAGCAGTGGATTTGGTTTTGGGGGGTTTGGAAGGTGATAAGGTCAGGGGAAATCAGAGCAGGGGAGGAAGAGGGAGTGACCGGGCAGAGGGTGCCTCAGGTGTCATCTGCTAGTCAGAGAGGCCTCAAGGAGGTGACGGGGACGACTGGGGGGGGGGGGGGGGGGGAACATGTGGAAGGAGGCCCTGCCCGCACAGGCCGGGTTAGCTGAGGGAGTCCATGTGGGGAGGGGAGGAAGAGGTGGGTCAGAGGTCAGAGAGGAAATAGCCAGCCATTCCACTCAGACATCCACCCGGGGGACCTTGGTTTGTCTGAGAGTGAGGTGAGCGGCCGCTGGAGGGTCTGAGCAGAGCAGGGACTGGGCGGATGTCTGCTGTCACAGCCTCACTCTGGCTGCTGTATAGAGAGGATGTCGTGGTTTGAATTATGTCCCCCCAAAAATGTGTGTATCAATTTGGCTACGCCATGATTCACAATGTTGGTTGGTTGGCCTCCATTTTGTGATTGTAATTTTACGCTAAAGAGAATTAGGGTGGGATTGTAACACCACCCTAACCCAGGTCATATCCCTGATCCAACGTAAAGGGAGTTTCCCTGGGGTGTGGCCTGCACCACCTTTTATCTCTTGTAAGAGATAAAAGGAAAGAGAAGCAAGTGGAGAATTGGGGGGACCTCATACCATCAAGAGAGCAGCGCCAGGAGCAGAGCACGTCCTTTGGACCGGGGTCCCTGTGCCGAGAAGCTCCTAGTCTGGGGGAACACTGATGAGAAGGCCAAGAGAAAGAAAGCCTTCCCCTGGAGCCGACACCCTGAATTTGGACTTTTAGCCTACTTTACTGTAAGGAAATAAACTTCTCTTTGTTAAAACCATCTGCTTGTGGTACTTCTGTTAGAGCAGCACTAGATGACTAAGACAGTGGATGAGGGGGCAGTGGTGAAAGTAGAGAAGGTGGGGAGACAGTTGCAGTCACCAGGGATGAGGATGTGGTAGCTTGAACCAGGGAGGTCGGGTATGGGTTGCACCTTAGAGGGGGGGCCAGTAGGGTTTCCCAATGATTTGGA